ATGACCACAAAAAAGACATCAGGGTTGATTATACACATAACCAGGAATGGCTTACAGGCATACTTAACAGAAATATGTGCATTTTTTGGTTATTTACGTCTATTTCACAAACAAAAATGAATTTCTCGCTCAAGTAAATAAATCCTACTTTACAAAAAAACCCCAAAAGAGTTTAACATGTGTTTTATTAAGGTCCTGATGATTTTCCTGAACTAAGAACAGAAACTTCTGTATCTACCTAATAAAACGTTGGTCTTTCATCCATTTCAGTTAGAATTGTCCTACCCATGTGTGTCACACCGTTTTAAGATAATGTAAAAACTTTAGTAAGATGTACATGTAACAGAAAGTAAACCGAAAATGTTTAACATCTATTTAAAACGCACTGGCTTCATTACACTGTTTAGCAAATACAGCCCATCACTGAGGACATTATGCATGACAGTGGACAGTAAATGAGGTGACAGTCACCTTTGGCTGCTACACTGTCTCTACCTAAAACAGACTCGAACCATCCCCGCCCAACGTCACTTTCTGGGAAAGCAGCCTTAGCCAGCTAAACATTAGTTACAAAACTCAAACCTCATTTCGGGTAATTATTATTATCATCATGTGGTTGATGTCTATTTTACCGCTCAGCATCGGGAATTTTGGCGTCAGATACGGACGTTTTTCAAGTCTTTTGACGCAAACATTTGCAGCCAGGCATGCTGACCTAGCTACTGTTAGCTTGAGTGCTAGCTCTCTAGCGATTAGCATAAGCTAATCTGGCTCCAGTGGACCGGCTGCTGCCGGCCTTGCACTGCGGAGGTAGAGCAGCTGCTTGGAGGCGGTAACGTCCGATGTCCTTGACTGTATTTTTATGGCAATGACACGGTTAGTCAGAAGAGTGTACCCACTGCACGGACACCCATCATGCTAATGTGGTAAGAGTGAAATGAGGGCGGCAGAAGCGTCACCATGCTCTCCTGCTCTCGGCCGGATCGAGATTCGCCGTCCTGGCCCTGCACGGGGCTGGCGCTGCCTTCAGGTGTTTTCCGCTCCCCGGTCCCCTTCTTTTCCTTCGTCCTGCTGCGGTTCCATAGGTAGACCGCCCCGACTCCGAGTACTATGGGAGCCCCCACTAACAGGGCCAGCTGCCACCGGGGTAGTCCAGTCCCAGACTGCGGCTCGACTGGCTTCGAAGCAGCCATGATGTACAAGTGAGCAATAGTTAACCAGCCAGCAGCACCACCTCCTGCATACAGCGTGACCGAGCTCGGCTTCTTCTTCCCGTGCTCCGCGAGGTCACAGACACCAAGGAATCATGGGATACTAAGAGAAGGGGAACCCACGGGGCTGAGTGTAGTTGCAGTCTTATAGTGACGATTTGTAGTCCAAACATCTCCACCAGCTACCGCCTTTCCAGTGCAGTTTGTAGGCTAGAACAGAGAGGTTTGTAATGAACCACTGGCCACGTGGACCAAGCACTTTGTTGACTGATATTACAGCGACGCCTGCTATATTATTAAGACTTCATAAACAATCAACAGTGATGGCTACGCTACACTTTAGCTATCAGCGAGGGAGCTAATGTAAATAGCAGCAGTGTTACTTGCCTGTGATTACAGTCTGGGAGCATTTTTTTTAAAAAAAAAGCGTGTCACGTCTGGAAGAGAAAACACGCACGTCTCTCAGTTCCTGGGCCTGTCTGATACCCTGTCTGGGCCTTTTGGACCCCTCACTGATGAGGTATTTTTCCTCATTGAGAAGACATGTAGAGTTGTGGGCTGTGGATTAATGTGTTGTCTAGAGATCCGGTCTCCCGTTGTTATTATCTCATTGCTGAGATGTCCAGAAGCAGTCAGCTTGGATGTTTTGTGAGAGGAAGCCAGTGTTAGAGGATGTATCACAGCAGGCAGCAGTACCCTGCTGACTGTTTTAAATGTTTTGAAATCTGATTGATATTTAATAGGGGTTTTGTGCCCTTCTGTTGTGTACTGTGGGTGAAGTGTGCACAGCAGATCAGCAGTTGAACAGCAGCAGTAGGAGCGACCCAGTTAGCTCTATTGTTCTGTGTATGGACTTACGCTACAAGTAACACACACACACACACACACACACACACACACACACACACACAGACA